TCATGTCCGTCACACTTTAGTTGGACCGCCCTGTGCGAATGGTTTTTAGAAGGGTTCTCTAGGTCTCTTTCTTATCTACCCCTAATCTTTCGGGATAAAATCAACCAAAGGAAAAAACAGACTGACCTATGCATTGGCCATCTTGGTAACGGGTTCCATGTGGACACATTGAGTCAGCATCTGCCAGAGCGTAATGTAGATGTTCCGAATCTCCATCAGTGTACTCGTAATCGCCGGATCCCTCCGTCAGAGGTGCTTCAGCCGTTGTTACCAACGTGACACTGGTAGTAGTGGTGTCAGCGGAGGTGGTGGTAGTAGCGGAGGTGGTGGAGGTGGTGGAGGCGGTGGAGATGGTGGTGGAGGCGGTAGTAGACGTCGTCATCGGCGTCGTCACTATCAAAACTTCAGGAGTAATAGGAGTAACGGCTGGATGAGACGTTGACATAGTAATTTCGTCTTCAGCAATGTCAGTGGTTGGTTGAAGAATAGCTTGGGTGGTGGCTGTAACGTCAACTTCATTTTTATTCGTGTCTCCCGAACTTTCTTGCTCGGAAGTTTCTTCAGGCGACGTTCTCATAGTGTATGCTTCTGAAGCTTCTGAAAGCATCGGCGAAGGGTCTATAACAGAACTGTATCAGTCAAAGAACTTAAAAATAGAAAAAAAGTTTACCTTCCACAATCACTTTTGCTTGATCATATGCGCTGCCTATAGGGCTGATTGCTATGCATTTATACAAACCGGTGTCAAACTCCTCAGCGGTTGTAATCAAAAGCGTATTGTTGGGCTTAAAGCGATTAATTCAAGATCTAGAAAAAATCGTAAGTGAGGAGGTTGTTACCAGTATTTGTACGATTTCATCCGGAATGATTTTCTGGTCATTTTTGGTCCATTCAATCTTGGTAGTGAGGGGCGAACCACTGAGATTGCAAGACAGTTGAAGTGTGTCACCAGGTACAAGTGAAAGCTTCTTAGGTTCTACATTCACAACGGGTAGTTCATCCTCCAGCTCTACCTAAAACGCAAAATTTCTCTGCCAAATGAAGTTTTTGAAAGCCAAAAAATAACTACCGTAAATGCAATACTCGGCTTTCTACGTCCACGAACTTTGCACATGTACAGTTTCAAATTGTCTGCCTAAAAATGACATTCCTAAGAAAAATTACAACTACCGTATGCCTACCGTGTCAGCATCAATGTCGGTAACTATCAAACTTCCATTGTTCATAAAGTGGAATCCACCCAAAGTGGGGTCAAGGGGTCTCGACTGGAAAAACCATGTGACTCCTCTGGTGTAGGGGCGGTGACGACCTAAGCACGTTAGCACAGCCACTTGACGCTTTGGCGGTGCTGTCGGCTCCGGTGTCGCTTCACTGTCAACTTCAAGCGTTGCTATCGTCTGTAATTACAGAATTCACATCAATATAGTAATTTAAACGTTTATTATAGTGATTTTGCGGTGTAAAAACATTTACGCGTAAAGGATGAGAAAGAGCACACTAAATTTAATCATCCTTTTCTCACGCGCAAATGTTGTCGTCACCGCAGGGCACCGTATCGACTAGTCTGACGCCATGGTGATTCAGCGGTGCCGACAACAAAAGCGGGAAATAATTGCAGTAACTTATGCTAAAAATGACTATAAAGCGTACAAATTGAGTTTTTGCG